TATTTCATAACCTCTAGACAAGGCTGTAGCTAGAGGGAGACTGAGCCTCCCCTAGATTTAGACAAGTTATAATTAACCAAATGTGAATTACTAGGTATAAAATCAAAATAAAATGTAGTGTTTTTTTCAATAAGCGGAAGTCAGAGCAATAAAAAAGTCTGGACCGTCGGCATTGTGATCCGGTTATTCCAATTCGTAAAAAATATTTTTTAGTTTAGTTTCTGTTTTACTCTCATATCTACAGGTTGATAAGTGTTATGGCTATTTGTCTTAAATTACGAGTACCAAAAATGATTTTCAGTTCAGTCTTCAGTTATTACATTCGGCAGACGTGATTAAATTATTTCGTTATTTTATTGATTATAAATCACTATTCAAGAATCACAATAATACAATACTTTTATTATTGGTATTACAATGCATCTATAAAAACTGATTTTATTATTGGTATTACAATGCATCTACCCCAACTTGCAAAAATGTGGATGACATCAACACAAAATTTTGTAATAAAAAACTCACTTGTAACAAACGGTTAGCTCGTTTTTTACCTTTACTGTGAAACATTATATACATATTTTTATTTTAGGTTATGTTATAATGGTTGCCATAAAAAACAATAAAATTCGCAAAATCAAATCTTTTAATTTTTCCCAGTTTTTTTTTAATCTATGGATATGAAAATTCTTGGAGAATCTTGGTATTTTGTGATAATTCATTTTTAAAAAGCATGAAAAATCTTTGGAGTCCTCAATTTCTTTTTACGAGCGTAAGTATTGTAGTTTCGTCCATCTGTCTGTCGTCTGTGCCGGTTTTTATTAAATTTTGTATGCAATATGCATATTAAGATATCATGTAGGTGGGAAAACCTTAACCAAAATTTATGTAATCATTCCCACCCGTCATAATTCTATGACGTCAGCTCAACATTTTCCTCCCAAAAAGGATTTAAAGTCAAATGTGACACCCTTTGATTGGAATAAACCTACAAATAAACACCTTTTTATGCCAAATCATTTGTGCAAATATTATTATTGACTGCTTTTAAATTTTCTGCAAGGTCGTTGTTATAAGTGAATAATAATGTATACACAATAAAAAAAATGTGCATTTCGTAATTTTACAATGTATGTTCGATGTTGTCAACATCCGTTAAAATTAAATTTAAATACCACTGGTGTATGTTTCATTCAAACGGCTAGAGGCGCATGATTAGATGTTAATCGAAGAACTTAAAGTTCAATACATCCATTGTTAAAACTGCACATCATCAAAAAACAACCGAAATTTGAAATTTCACAGACTTGAATGGTTTGTAATCACAATGTGCGATCAGCAAAAAATGTCTTTGAGTTGGTATTGTATACGTGGGCTTGTATTTCGTTCCCCGATGTAAAACGACAAGAAAAATGCCATTCTGGTCAAACGCCAACTTGAAGGCGCAATTTATACCTAATAAATTTTAAAGTATATCTACTTACTAAAGTAGGTCTCCATATTCTCCTTGTTGAAATTTTAGCCTAAGTATGATGCAGTTAAACTGCGCGAATGCAGTTAATTGATATAAATTGGCGAAACCACATCAACGAGGACACTTATTTTGTAAGACAAAAACAATTTTAAATGTTTAAAACATGAAAATTTTAAGAACAGGTAGAGAAACAGAACCGGTTTTGCATACTTACAGGTAGGAGTGGTAATTTTTGGCCAATTGTATTACCCTTGAAAATATAAATTAACTTAACTTTATTTGCACCTTAAAACACTTTCCGCAATATTGTTTTGGTAATAATTAAAACAGTCTTTATTTAAATTACACACCGAAACCGAATAAGGCAATTAACCAGAAATAGTGTTGAAATTAGAATAATAATCCAATAGTTACAAAGAATCATTGATGAAAAAAGAACGGACGTTTTTTAGATCATTACTTGTAACTTGGGAAACCTTTCGTGTTAATTTTCCAAGCAGTTTATACAAATTAGTGTCACTGTAGTTTACTGTATTGTTTTAAATTTCACTAAAAACAGTGGTCCTTAATTTGGCCATTAAGCACGGATAAATTTTAATTTCCTGCAATTCACTACTCGTGACAAATACTCAAGGAAATAATGTTTCTTAGTACTGCATATTTAGCGTTTACCTTTCCATACAATAAAACTCACCTTATTTATTAATCCGGAAATTGCGCAATCGAAACGGAAGAAAAAATCAAAGCTTGTTAGTAACATCATTTTGTATCTTTAAGGAAAGTAGGCGCTCCTTCACCTTCTAAAAGCAATCAGTGATTGCCCAAAGGTATGACATTGAAGAGAAAATTTCTCTTATGTAATATTTAACAATCATTATTTGAAAAATGGTGGGGGCGCCGGTCACACTAACGAGCTTAAAATATGTAATACAAGCCAACAATTACTAATAGCACTAAAAGGAATGTTTTAATTTCGTTATAATTATTGATTACGTAGTTTTTAGTGTTTTGGAAACTTCCCAATTATATGCTCACTGAGTGGATCTTCTTATTAAAAGCGTAAGACACGTGCCGAACCAAATCGGAAGTTCAATGTTTCACTCACGCTTCATTACATAAACGAAATCGCGCGTTTTAATTGAGTAATAATGTGAATGAAAGTTGAAGATCCGATTAATTAATAAACAAGTCGGTAATTTAAACTAACGGTCGTCTTTATAGTTAACACGAATACCATTTTTCTTTCAGGTTTCTATTTTGTTGACGTCCGCAGAAAAATGAGGTTTACAAGTTGGAGACATTGCTCTGACATTGACCTTGTTGCTTTCTTTTTGCCTGGTTAATGTTATTATTTTGCCATTGTTTGCCAGTGAAAACAATAATAAAAAGTTAATGAAGCACTTTATACACACTAGTACCATTAAATTCATTCACGCAGAAGTAAAATAAAAAAAAAACTGCTTAGCGTTGCGCGTCGTCAAAGGCACTTTTTTCTAAAGCCTGAATTTTGCGAAAGTTTTACAATTGTGACTGCTTTCACCCTAGCCATGTGTTATGGTTAATTTTTTTTATTACTTGACGTGATCTGAGGTAGTTATTGTTAATATATGCCGCTAGAGTTTGTTTTTGTTATGTTAAGTGTTATGCACTATTGTGTACTTAATTAAATGAAGATGATAGAAAAAAATTTGTTCGCAAAGTTCAGTTTTTATTGTTAAGCTTTTAATATATGTGAATATAATTATTGCAAAAGAGAATGTGAATGCGATTCATGTGGTTTTCATTCATATTTATGACGTCAATTTGACCTTCTGCCCTTCTAATAGCGAGCTTTTTATGGTTTGCTCTTTGGTCGGACACTCTTTATTTGTCAACCAAAAAGGATCTCTTAAATATACATAAAGTAGTGTTTAATGTTTGCTTTTGATCATCACTATTACGACCTACGTTATATGTATTTATAGTACTATGCAAACGCTTTTTTCATCTTTGTTTTCAATTTTTACAGTACCTACTAGTTTTTTCTGTCAATTCTCAGAATCAATTAAAACGTTTTGCAAAAAGCCATTGCTATTCTAGTTCGTTTTTACGTGAAATTCAACAATTTGGTAAAATTTTCAAAATCGCTTGTGTTATAAATACGAAAAGTTACCTTCGACCTTTTTTAGCAGTGATTTGGGTTAAGAGATTCATATACATATGTAGACCGACAACTAATTCTATTATATTTTAATATAAAAAATGATGTTGAGCTTATTGCAGCAAATTAAATCTTTAATTACTAATTCTGACCTGAGCTGAGCTGAGCTGAGCTGACCTGACCCGACCCCATTTCCCCAAAACTGATACGAGTCTCCGTTTCCTATCATCGGTGGAGAAGGGTGAACTGACACTCCGCACCAGACCAAATATAAACAAGTCAACTGAGTGTGTTTGTGTCACAGAATGCGTTCGAATAAAAGGCAGTGGCAAAGAATGGGTGATTAAAGTATGACACATTAATGAATGCAAAAAATCTAGTTCTACGAGAATTTCTAAAAAAAAATACAAACAATCGTATTTTTGTTTCACGAGTGTAAGGTAACTTATTAAAATATCCCATCATAGAAATTTAAAAAAACACTGTAGACTTTTTGTTTTTATAGATATAGATTTTTTAATGAACAGATTCGATTTGGACATTTTGGAAGATAATAGACAGTTTTTAAGCGACAAATTTCGGTCAAAATAACTCCTGTGTTTGAGATATATATTTATTTAAGAAAAAGTGTACGTCAAAAATCCTTTTGAGAAGATGGTAAATCTTGGGACTATTTATGCTCAGTGCGCATAATGTGTTGAATAATTTATCTATTTTATACATAATGTATCACGCTGATTCAACAAATACCTCTAAATTTTTAAAGGAAGGTTGTGCACGCAAAATGTTTTAATTTGTTTGTGGAAACAGGAAGCAGTGAAGCGTAACTGAATTTTAAACAAATATTTAAATACGCTGATCTAAAAACTTCGTTAAAATAAAAACAATTAATTGTGTATACTGTAGTTGGTACCAAATAACCATTAATTGCAAAAAATCACACGACTTAATTATCCCTGTTGATTTTGGATTTTATTTTCTTTACAAAGTGTTTTTGTCTCTCGACAGGTTATTTTTCTTTTTTTTACAAATTATTATAATAAATGTTGAAATTTGTTGCGTAACTTTCTTATAAAAGAATTTTCTTGAGTTGATATTAATTCGATTAATTAACCGATTTAGCAATAAACTGCGTTTTCTAAAATAATTAAAATTATTCCATTAGTGTAATAATTACACGATCTTTCAGATATATCCTGATATAGAAATATAGAAAGTAGATGTATTCATCGACATCTGTACCATCGCTCCATTCTCGTCAACATAAATATTTAACATATCGCAATTTTCCACTTTACATTTCGAAACTTTCCACATTTTCGCTTCATTACAAGAAATTTCAGAATTTTATAGTGGTCGGAGTACGTGAGTGAGATTAATTGCACTTACTCAAGATCTGTAAGCAGAACATGACGGCAAACCCAAGTAAAATTGCAAACAATTGCCAAACGCCGCTATGGTGGTTTCCACGTTCTCTCGCTAGAACTTCGAAGAAGACGACGTATAGAAGAGTTCCTGCTGCCATTCCTTGCAAAACGATTGAAGCAACGTCCTCATGGCTGTCGTGAGATTCCGTCAAGACTAGTCCTATTCCTATGCCTGAAAGTTCAGCATAGATTAACTTTATGTTATATAACGTATTCATTATGCGAGTAGAATGGATGCATTTTTAAGATATGGATTTTAAAGGCCGCGTAGTCTACGTCGATTATGATGAAATTTTAACCAAGGATTATGAGTTTTGTGTCAGACAAACATCAGTTCAAATTAACAACCATAATAGTGCTTAGAGGTACATTTCACGTTTGTGACTTTGTATATTATGTTTACTGTCACGAAAATTATATTGAGTAATTTAAAATCAATTTAAATCTCCCAGAGGCGCATAGCCAACCGCAAACGTGTAGCTTTTTTAACACTCGTTAGATTCGTTCTAAGTATATGTGTAAGAATAAAAACCAATTTAAATTATATTTATTAGAGTGAAATTTGCGAGAACTGATACTTTTTCAAAACAGGTTGTAGAAGTGTAACTTTTTTAAAAAAATAACACGTCTATGTTAATATCATCAGTCATAACTCTTCAGATTATGACTCATAATTTCTTTTCTTGCAAAATACAGGTTTCTTGGTTGGTAGGGAAAGCCAGACACTTCGATACGCGCAGATAATAAAACCACCCAAAGTTGAATAAATATGAGGTTTTGTGGGCGTTTTCGTATTTTTTTTGTCTAGAGTCTACTTTTAAAAGACGAAGAGTAATAAATCGTATAATAATGAAATATAGTAACTGTGCTTTTGAACAGAAGTGGCAAAACATGTACCATTCACTGGCAAGAGATTGGAATGCAAGATATGGCGAATGTTCCGCAGTTCGTTGATTAGGTATCCGAGTATCCATCCCCTAAGGCTGTGACAAACAAAGCGAAATCCTTTTCAGGTATATTTAGTTGCAAGAATAATCCATGACATAGGCGGGTATTGAAGGTCATAATTAATTATGACAAGGTGCAATTATTTATGTTCTTTTACGAAAAATGGAAGGAGGTGTACATCATTGAAATGGTTTCAGGTAAATACTTATATAAGTACGCCGCTGGACTCTGTCCGTCCGATTTTTTAAACGGACTATAGGTGTCATTTTTAATATTTCTACTTATTATTATTTATTTACAATTACAGTAAAAGTTGGTGTTAGTTAGTGATGTTAGTCATTTTCTTAAAATTGTTCTTAGTATGAGCAAAGCTGCTTTATTTAAATTGTAGCCAATGCTAAATTTCAAAAAGAGATCAAGACGTATGCTATCCTGCAATCTTGATTTAATATGTATTTAAAAATGGCTTTTACTGTATTTCAATGGCTTGAATAAGCTTAAACACGAATTTTACTCCAGTTTTTAAACATATTGGGTATGCATTTGAGTAAATTGACCTTATTTCTTTATACATTGTGAACTATCTACAATAAATCTAAAATTTAATTGTTCACAAAAAACAAAGCCAACTTGATGACTTTTTCAAATGAACATCCGTTATTAGATACGTATACAGGGTAACTCACTAAGTGTTTTGTTTTTGAGGCATAGCACACCACTTAGATTTTCTAAACTACCTCACATATTTTTACACATTCTTATTAGCCTCTTCCTAGGCTTTATTTTTTTTAGTTATTTATGTATCAAATCGGCCGAGGATATAAACTTCAAATAATACCCGTCATACATAAAAATTGTATGTCTTACCGTTTAGTTTTTAATATTAACAAAAAAAAGGTATTTTTTGCACATTATTTTATTGGTTGCATTTACTCCATAAGAACTATTTCCTTAGATTAAAACAGCGAATTAACCACAAAAATAGGATTTATGTTTCTTGAGTTTCTGGAATTTTTTTGGGTCTTATTAATTTTTTCGATTTTTTTTTATTCCTGAATTGTTTGGTTTTTAGGGTTCTGGATTTTTTTAGAATTTTTTGTTTTTTTTTTCTGGATTTTTTTTGGATTTATTCAATTTATATATATTTTTTTTTCTTATTTCTTGCATTGTTTGATTTTTTGGATTTTTTTGAACGTTGTTGATATTTTTTGGATTATCTTGTTTTTCGGATTCTTTGGATTCTTCGGATTTTTCTAGAGTATTATTTCGTCAACAACGTACCAATAATCAAACGCAAAGACAAAATCATTAATCATAGTGTAGCACGTTTTCCCAACTTTCTTATTTTTTTTAGCAATGTAAGGGATCACAAAAGAAAACGCAATAATATTATTTTTTAAATATCTGTTACAATAGTTTTTGAACAGATAAACAGTCTTTTAAAAAAGTAAGTTAATTTTAGGTCCCCTGGTATATTATTTTCGGATAATTTAAAGAAATCTAATGTTTTGTTACTGGATGAACTTGAAAAAATCTTTTGAGTTTTTAGTGTTTTATTTTTTATGAATTTGAAAAAGTCTTGTGTGTCGCCGTGTTTTTTTTTTTAAACTTAAAACAATCATTTATGTCATTTGCCAAAATCGGTCTATTCTAGCAGGTACTAGCCCCGCCCACCCTCCCTCTATTTTCTTAGAGAGATCTCATTTAGCAAAAACAGTCTTATCTTGGCAGGTACTAGCCCCGCCCACCCACCCTCTCTTTTCTTGGAAGGTATGTCATTTGCCAAAATCGGTCTTATTTTAGCAGGTACTAGCCCCGCCCACCCTCCCTCTATTTTCTTAGAGGGATCTCATTTGCCAAAATCAGTCTTATCTTAGCAGGTACTAACCCCGCCCACCCACCCTCTCTTTTCTTAGAGGGTACGTCATTTGCTAAAATCACTCTTATCTTAGTAGCTACTAAACTATCAAGTTTAAATATAGAAAATACTTTACAAAAAAGAAAGAGAAAAAACAACAGAATAAGATGCAGTAATAAAATACAGGGTGCCTAATGGAAAAAACTGAAATATCGATATTTAAATTTTAATTAATTAATACTTAATTTTCGTTAGACCACAACAAAGCGCGTAACTTTATTTATCTTTCTACAAAATATTGTAACACAGGTTTTAAAAACTGAACCGTTCTATTTTTAAAAAACTTCAAAGAATTGTACAACTGCAGTCTGTAACCATTTTTTCTATTTTTGCTAATTAATGAGGTATCGAAGAGCCCGCACTTTGTGACTCACCCTGTAGATACAGCAAAATGCAGCAATGTGATTTTTTTAATTTCTGCCTTCGTTTACCTTAACGCTTACCTCAACTGTTGAGTCATGGCCAACTAGAGGAGAAATTTAAAAAATCACCTGATGCTAGTTTTATGTTTGGAGTTAGTTTTTGGTTGGAATTTTTTATATCGTCATATTTTCTAGTGACTTTTGTAATATTATTGCAGAATTTAAACTTGCATTTTAAAATAATTATCAACTTGCTTACATTTTGAAGATTCTATTTTTTGTTAATAGGATAATTTTAAACCCAATGAAATAACTAAGGTATTTCCAAATTTGTACCACCGGAGAGGAGAGGTGGACAAGCTTTCCAAGCCTAGTTATATCCTAAATAAATCTTTTTCGAAAAATATGGCCTAACATGCATCTAAAGACAGTGAAGTTGTGTAGAAACGACTTTGATTTCATGCAGTTTAGATAATTAAATGAAGCTTGTTTTGCTTAATTTATTTACAATAATAATTTTAAAAATGTAAAACAATTTAACCATATGAGTATAACTTTGGATTATCACTTAATTTTTTCCACAGATATTAATACAATGCTTTTCAAGGTAAATAAAGTTGACAAAATTGAGGAGATACAGTTTTGTCAAACATTTTAAATTTAATATATTTTTATTGCTGTGATAATTATCCAAAACATGTAGTTTAATTTGGCTTATCGTAAATGTATGTTCGACTGTATGTATATTTATAAATTGTTGTCAGTTGTTATTGACTATTATTCAAATGTTTTATTTACATGTTTAAATTGTTGTGGTAGGTCTTTCCACCTTTCGAGCATTCCATTTTATAGGACCTTGCATGATTTAAATTCTACCCACTGTCCAATTATAATGTTCTACAACATTGGTTGTCATGGATTATCAATAAATAATAATATTATCATCATATAGTTTAGATAGTTATGCTTGCATTCTACTATAAAATTGAGATCGTCGGCGGACAAAAAAATATTCACCTAATGGGGTGACAACGGCGAACGTTCCTATATACAACAAAACCAGAAGCAACTTCGTTTTCGAGGTCACAAGTTCGAATCCCACGCAGAATGCAATGACCAACTTATGTGTGGCTATGGCAGCGAACAAATACCAAACTCTCTGGACGTCGCCTTCAAGACCCACCGCAAGTCCTTCGAAAACGGCATGGAAGCTCAGCGCCAAAACCGCCAACAAACCACTGAAGGAATTCTTCAAGGCGGCGTCAATGTTGTGCGAATGCGAGTGCTTGTCGAAGTTAATGGTGGACTGGGAGTTGAGGAGCTCTTTATTCGAAGTGCTGATGTAGCTGATGTTCCCGTCGTCGAACTTATTCAGGGTGACCCTCGGGATAGTGAGGTTCCTCTTTTTGTTGCTGCACCTGATGGAGAGCGAGCGGTGCAGACTGTCGTCGTCCAGTTTCCTGTCAAGGAAGAGGTGAACCACTTCTTCGATGAGGTACACGAAAAAGAAGCCGAAGCAAAAAACCAGTTCTGACATCGGAATTCCACTGCCTATACTGGGAATTTTGTCGTGGGATTCCAGCATCATAAAACTTTCCCGCACTTCGGGTTGCAAATGGACGAAAGTCGTGAACAAGAGCACGCCACCACCGAAACATAACAACAAAGAAATCAACAAGTTTTTGTCACCGTCCACGGACTTGATGTTAATCCACTTGGTCAGTTTAATCGGGAGAATTCCGATTGCAAAGGACCCGATGCCTAAAACGCACATGGCCACCGCTTTCGCCAGAATTAAATCGGACGAGCCTTCGCTTTTCGTCGCGTTTCTAGTCACAGCTTCCATTTTTACGCCGACTTTTATCACACTTTTCACTAATTTGCAGCTTCGTTCCTACCTCTTCATGCCGAGTCTTCTTCCTAAACCCAAAAGCACACATTAGACACGAATTTCGAGAGCAGACGGTTCGTTCGACGTCTCGTAAACATTTCTTAGAACTGGATGAACGGGTTGAAATGTTCAGACCCAGTTTTAGCAAAAAAATTAGATCACGTAGCTAAGCGGTATAAAATTTTAATGCGAGCTTAGCCGGCGAGGTAGCTTTTTACGAAATATTCCACGGACGTGATAAATTCGTGCACATTTTTGCCAGTTTACTAGAGCGATCATTGCATACGATATCATTAATTATTCGAATGCGTTTTTCAACCCTTGACTTTCACTTCAAAAATATTGCAGGGAAAACCGAGCTTGATAGAGCTCGATGCGTTCGAGTGACCTCACAGCTAAATCTGGACACATTATTAGAAAACGAAAACGAGGAACGCAACTGTCTGGTAATTAAACTCAATTAAAAAGAAACCAAATTGGACTGCCTGGATTTTAACACGTTTTAAGCTCACAATGCACTCTAGCAAAGAATTTTACTTTTTCTTTCACTGCCGTAAGTTACACAATACGATATTCTAGTTGAAACTTTTTGTGTCAGGTTTCATAATGATCCAGTAGAACGAACTCTATTGGGTTGTTCTGGCTTAAATTATCGTTATTTACAATGGAAAATCTGTTTTTCCCTTTTGCGTTTGATTAAATCTCTATTTTCATTTTTGTTAGGTAGTTGGTGAAATTATAACTGTAATCTGATGGTCTCTATTAACATGTAATTCAAGCCGCCGTAACGGAAGTCGTTTTCTGGAAGTGAAACTGAAAACGCATTTAGAACGCGTAACAAGTGCATTTTTTTGGCATGCAAATTATAAAAGGACAATGCAGAGATATTTAATTATGGTATTACGTGCTTGCATGCTTACATCATGTATAAACGTACGTAGCTTCACTATCATGATAACGTGAAACCAAAAAAATATATATAATATATATGAAATACTTACTATGTAGTCTAGACAAATTAAATTTGATCGTTAATAAATGTCACAAAAATTTGTTTGTTTATTTTTTTGTTTTTGCTGTATTAAACTGGTCTAATAATTATATTTAGATCTATATGTCTGCAAGCATTTTTAAAATTTTTGTGTTCTGAATCACCACTGTCACGATTTTACCGTAATTCACCTCCTTCATCATTCTAGAATATAATTAATTATAATGCTAGTGAATTGCCGAAGACATTTAGCCTTAAAAGTGAAAGGACATATGTCTTAAGTTGTGTTTTCTTTTAAAATACGTTAGAAGTGAAGTAATCGTATGTAATCAAGACATGCCTCTTGGGAACTCTAATGTACAACAAACACAGTTGTACGTTTTTTAAATCCTGTTGAAAGACCCGCAGACACTTAAATACCAAAGTATTATTAAAGCTAAATATTACCTCGCGTGATAAAATTATGAGAAAAGGTCAGGTTTCTTGAAATTATAGGATCCTGCAGTATTGTGCACAACTATTGTCAGGTACGACGATAAAAAATGTGACCTTCTAATTAAAATGTTAAATACTTTGACGCAACAAACTTGGCAAAGTCAAAATTTGCAGAAAAGTAAGTTTTGGGACGATGGTCTGAATTAAAAATTGTTTATGTAGTAATTAATTATACCTAGTTAATTTTGACACCTTAATTAAGTCAAAATCAGTATTTTTTTTTAATAATGAATTTAAAGTTTATCATAATAAATTAGGTGTAGATCTGAATGTAATCCTTATAATTATTACTCAACAGTTGTTTACTTACGGGAAGGGATACATCTTCAATCGAAGGTTTATTTCTGTGATGAATACAAAATGTTTACCCTAATTTTTTTTTTGATGAAAATCATACCCTGAACTCACGCTGTGTTGTATTTAATCTGGCATTCATTGTAAAACACTCTAAAATGGAAAATAATTACATAAGAAATTCTCTAATTAATTAAACTCTATGAGGAAACTTACGAGAACTTCAAAAAAAGAAATCCTTTTCGAGCACTAGTTCCGAACTAATTAATAATCTCCATGTTAGTAGAAACAACGAAGGTTCATACGACGACCGTCGTTTTTAACAGTGGAATTTCAAATAATGTTAGTGTAAGAATAAATTGAAAAAGTAGTTAATATAACTATTCATTGTTTACTTTATTCCCTTGGCAATAACGATTTTACTTTATTCCTTTGGGGACAATGATTTTGAACGAATAAGAAAAAAACTTTTAGTACTTACTACAACGATTCATTATTTCAAATCGCCCGTGCATGGCATGGCATTTGCTTATTTCTTATGTTTTGTTTATAGGTTTTCGTTTTAAATTTTTGCGTGATTTTTACTTCCCAAAGTATTATAACAGCTACTTTCATGTTTTCTCGACGTTTCATGGCCCTATAGGACGAAAAAATAGGTCTCCTTTTTTGTCTGTCTAGCGCCTGCCGCCTGCTGTGTGCCACCTGTCTATGTCGATTTAAAAATCTTTGAAATTACCCTACCGATTATTGTCAAATTTTACACCGTATAAATGGTAAAACGCAATAATTTTATTTAAATTTCATAAAATAACATCCTCCTGCAACTGTGGTTTATGAAGCTGTTTCAATTTTTTATTTTAAGCGAACGGTCCCAAAGTTTGTAAACGTTTTAAGATTATCGCGAGAAACAATTTTATATCTTTAAATAAAATCTCACTTACTCTATACTTGCGGTTTATCAATGCATTGATAGTTTTTAGAATTACTTATACAGGGTGTAAAAAATATGTATATGTAATTTGCGTATACAGTACTATTATTAGTATTACACTGCACCTATTCAAATCGATACCAGTGTCTTTGCCAAAATTTTGATGGAAAGAATCACTTGAAACGTACGCACAGCATTCTTTACCTGTACTCTAATAGTCCACAGATATCTTTATTTTAACTTATAAGGGTTATCATGAAAAAATAAAAATTGCTCAAAATTAAATTTTGTACTTTTCCAAAGAAGCTGTCCTGTCTAAATAAATTTAGACGATTTTTTTCTTTATTTAGAAGTAGAAAAAGTGTAGTATTATTTTTGCAGTTGTGGGCATTAGTCACTCAGACGATAATGGCTATCATAATTGCTTATATAATGATATACATTTATGCACCGTCCGTAGAAAAATATATTTATATTCGTTCTAACAATTTTTTTTTTGCGATAACCCGTATGCGTAAAAACAAGACTTATAGTGAGCCAAATGTTGATGAGGCGAATACAAAAACTTTGGTTTCACAGTAATTTTAAAATCCTCCTAAAATTTTACACTGATCACTCCATCCAGCAGTTTTGAAGATGAGCTATTAAAAAAAATCTCCAAGAGACAAATCACATCAAACAAACATTTTCGGTAGAAACATAAAATCAGGCATTCGTCAAGATTACATTACAACATTTGCTTAATCTTATTACTGCTACTAACCAATTTTAATGATATTTGTACATAGCCACATAACTACACCTTTTTAAACCGTTACTCTGAAAAGAAATATTTTGCCGCTTCATAACTTCAGTAGTTTTAACTACATATTAGCTAAAGTGAAAAATAAAAAAATAATTTTTAAATACTAATTGTTACAATACTTCACTGATTTACGTTTGGAAAGTAAAAACACTTCAATATTTAAAAAGTTAGTTTAGGCCCATGGACCATTTGCGGAGTGACTAGTTTTACATATTCTCGATCCTTCATAGCACCCAGAATGTCAAAAGTAGGTTACCCTTTGTCTGTTATCTGTTGGCGATTTTATTTTTTATTTTCGAAACTAGTTGACAAATTGTTGTTAAATCATAGATTTGTTTCTAAATATTGTCTAGATCTAATCTAGATCTAATATCACCACCGGAAATATGACGACATCATCTAATAGTGTTGCAGAATAGGCTTTTGTGCCTATTGTGTATTATTTAATCAACCTTATTAAAATTGTGTATATAGGCTTTAAAAAAAAAATTAAAATTGTGTTACAAAATTTCACGATTTATCTTAAAAATTGGAAAACTGATTGTGCTGAAATTTTGTCCACGTTTTTAGGTTATCATGAATATGGTAAAACGTTAGTCAGAATTGATCTATTCATTGTTCAGTCTTATTCAAAATGTTAGAAAATCGTGCATATATTTTCTTTATTTATTTCATACACTCCTAATTTTCTTTCATTTAGGGGTTATTATAATAAAACATTTTTTTGCAGAATCAAATTTTATAGTTTAAGAAACTGGATTTACTTTAGTTGATCATACTGGTTAAGCGGAGGAGGTTCTATCTAGACAACTTTCGGGATCTATTTTGACTTGCTGAGCGTAAGCTAGGGAAGTATTGTAATCGGGTCCATCGGGCGATTTACCACTTTTATGTTTTCTCGACGTTTCATGACCCCCAAAGTGCGAAAAAAGTTGTCTATTTGTCTGCCCGTCAGTCTGTCTGAGTAGGTTTTTATTAGACCCATAATCTCCGAAACTATCAGACCGATTGTACCGAGTGCTCTGAAATCTGGCAACCGTATTCAGGTCATCGTAATCGTGGTAAATCGTTATTCAAAATTTATTCCTTTATCCTCACCGAAAAAATTGACGACGTAATTTCAAAATTTTGCCCAATAAATTCTCTCTGAAATATGCAAAATATACATTATAATTCTGTACTTGTGGTTTGTCAAAGCACTCATTGTTTTTAGAATTACTTATACAGGATGACTCAAAAAAAAAATAATGGAATGAAGCAATTTATTGCATTGATTAAATCAAGAACGACTCATCAATTTTTCCGAAAATTTGGAAATACAGTACTGTTAATATTAGTTTTACACTGCATTTATCCAAATTGATATACATGTCCTTGCAAAAATGTAGATGACGTCATCAGAAAATTTAATAACTTATAAAGATTATCATAAAAAAATAAAATTCGCGAAATCAAACTTTATAATTTTTCGAAAAAGCTGGATTTGTTGTATTATACTTCAAGGGCGGGGGAAGTTCTGTCGAAATACCTTCGACCAACTTTTTCTGAAATAAACTGTGTACTTTATGGATATTTTAGAGAGTATTTATTTGGCAAAATTTTGAGGTGACGTCCAGTATTTTCGGAGAACATCTGTCTAAAAAAAATCGACACAGCCGACAGACAGACACACAGACGGAAAATATAGGAAATATTTCAGTAGTTCAAGATTTCTGGCGGTAAAAATTAACAGTAATAATGTAATTATCGTGTTTGCACATCTGTGTCCATGACAATATATGGCAATTCGATATACGTGTTTCTTCTTTTAGACATTTTATCCAATACAATACATATAAGTGTATTACATCATTGTAATCGTAATTGAATTATCTATTAAAATCAGTTAAAAATGGCATATGTGCGTCTTATTTGCAAAATACTGAATTAAGATTTCCCCTTCAAGCTAAAAACCACGACGTTTACAGAATTTAAATATGTTTATTCATTCTCAAGGTCGCGTAGTTTTATCTGGGACAGCTATTTACTAATATTTCCTGTCTGAAATATACGAAGTGATCAGAATATAGTATCTAGAGTATTGCCATATTATTTATTAAATCAAAAAGTTCTCTTAAATAAGAAAAATTTTATTTAATTTAATATGAGTGTCCATATTATGCTTATTAATTGTACATATTAAAATCTTTGTTGTTTTTAGTTCTTGGTATAAATTTAAAACTGGAAAATAATATTTCAAAACTTTACCTATATTTATTCCTCATTTCCATAAAACAAAACCACTTTTCCCAATTTTATAGCTTTTATCTCGATTTGTTTAAATTAAAATTTGTTTAAAATTACGAATTCTTACTTTCTTTGGAGTAGATCATCAAAATAAGTAGTCGACAAACCATTGCAATTGCACAAGTTTTATAGATATGTTTACGCATTATAGAAACACATTTATCATTTTGAATAAGTATATGCACTAAACTAGATATGTTTTACCCGCTCGTTAAAAACAAACACTAACCTTGCTGTTATCAATAACAAAACTATTGGTAGCATACCTCAAAAAAAAATTCACGCACTGTAGTTGTATAACCACCTACAATTCACACAACCACTCTTCGAGATCCTTGAAGACGGGACTAACCGCCTGCATTCTCAGTTCTTCTTGCCTTGCATGCAATCCCAGCATGGGATTTACCATCACCTTCGAGCCACTAAAATTGGTCCGCAGGAATTCCCGCTGCAGCTGAAGAGTTGCAGCGAACAAAAAAGATATTCAATCGCAATTGTGAACTTGAAGGTCAGAACGCCAAACGACATTTAATAAATATTTTAGAAACTTGGTAAGAGGACTTTCTAATTTAAATACCGCGCCTATATCAGGAAACGATTTTAAATGAATGCAGTCACACGGTTGTAACCGAAATTGTTTTTTATTGCAACGATTGAACTTGATTTTTCAATTGAATTTACCACGACTGATCAATGTTACGGTCGATTATTGCTCTTAAAGAATTTACATAAATGGGAATTGTTTTGAAGGTCTGAGAACATTTCAGCGACATTGAGAATGTCGACACGAGGTGGATATTTCTAAGGGTTGTTTCTTTAAAAATGTAGAAGAATTAAATTTTAATAAGAGAGTATTCTCGTAGGGGAGGACCGCAGTTGCTTTATTAGAGGTGTGTTTAAAAAATTATTTGTTGTGTTACAGGCGAGCGTTCATTAAGTAATTTTTTTCATTCATGCTGGCATTAAAATGCAGAGTAGTCACCAGCACGACGACTCTAATTTGCCCCATTCAATTTAAATTAAACTTACTTCTTGCCGCTATAATTACGCTTAGATTTCGATTTTCAACACTAATTATTTTTATGCTTAGATCGGTCTTAAAAAACACAAAAGGAAAAATGAAAAAATAAATACCTGTAGAAGCGCTAATTTTCTTATTTAGGGGCACCGCTCACTAATAAAAACTGTAGCACTTCTTCCTCACATGTTTTAATGGAGAGAACGCGGCAACGCTAACCTCATAGCGAGTCGTTGAAGACTGAAGAGAAAAGGACACCGACATTTTACCCACACTGGATACATTATTATAGTAAGTACTGCACAGTGCTTCAAAAAATGTTGTGCATACATTGCAGTTTTGACGGAGATCCGCCTATTATTTATTTGGTTATAACGGTACACGGTAATTTGGACGCGGATAATAATTTTTTTTATTCAAAGTTTCATAAAGCATTGTATGTGTTAATAGAGCGAAAAAAATGATAATTTTTGTTGGTCACAATTTCCCAAATTTATAACTCATTTATAACAAAATTTTAGTGACATAAAATTTCTCTGTGATGTGCGGCGACCCACATTTTGTTAACTGTTTATGCCAATATTATGCCAGGCAATGATCAAGTTTTAGCTATTAGCTGTGGTAAAGAGAAAAATAAATATTCAGGGAACACCGAGGTGCAAATGTTAAGAACCGCTGCCTTAAAATCGTTAATTCCTATTGGTTGCGAGGACTGTTTGTAATTGGTTTGTTTTCAAATATACGCACTTGATTCCTACTTTAGAAAAAAAGAAAATAATTAAGACGTTATAATCACCTCACAATTAATAAAGTTGAGTCCGGTTTTATTTATTATATCTACTATTACATATATTTTAGTGGTGTTGACGATGACGGAAATGTTTTATCATTAAAAATATAAAAAGTGCTATAAATTTATTTACCTCGAACTTCGTCTTTGAAGCACAACAGTCCAATATAACTTATAGTGTGCATTATAACATAAATTTCAAACATCATTTGGTTAGTAAAATTTTGAGATTCCGTCATCATTTTTTGGTGGGATTGAACAGAAAAAAATAAGTTACCGTTTTATAAAAATTATCACACTGTGTACCTATAGTACAATAAAATATGTAAACCACAAAAACGACATGACTTATGTTGCACTATTTTTTTCTTCTTATATTTGTTTATAGAAAGAATTTTTCAAAAAAAATGAATGAATTGGTCTGTGTGTATTTTATTACTTAACAGCTTGTCACGTGAAGTGCTAATTTGATTTATAATTATTAATATAATTAGTTTCAAATTAAATACACACCAAAATCGGGACAATATTCGAACTTTGTACGTATAAAGTATTTTTGGTTTTATCATTCACAACTTTCTTTTGATTTAAGTTAGCATTTGCTTGTCGACTTCTTTGAAATCGTTTTCTAGCCTTTTGATGAATGAAAATGAAACTGTGAACTTGAAACTGTTACACATGGCTGCAGCTTTAATAATTTTGAGCTCATTAGTATGTCTTTCTTGTCTCAGAGGAAAACTGAAGGGTCTGTTGAACATAAGGTTGAGAACTGGCATGTACTGTTGTGACCGGTGATGGGAGTGAGCAGTAAAATAGCGAAGTGTATTGTGTTTTTTTTGATTACACTGATTTATAACTTATAATTATTTCTAATGACAAGAGACTCTCAAGTGATAGTTGTTTATTGTGGATTTCTTTGCATGTGTATTTGAAGCTATTAAATTGAGTACAAAAAATATCTGCAAGTTCTTGAAAGTTCTTTCACATAATGTTTACTTGTCGAAAGTAGCAAAAACGTCGACTGTATAGTAGTGTATAGTAATAACATTTTTAGTTTTACTTTAAGTTTTGAGATATAAAGATACAAAGTTTTTTTATGCCTTTAAAATTAAGTGTCATGGAATGGGTAATTATTTGGCACTGTGAAGTATTGGTCGGTAATTATCTTCGATATCATTATTACGGGGATATTCACTCTCATCACCGTATTGTGAAAAATTTTTCAAAAAAATTTAGTATTACTGTTATTATTAAAAACATTCAAGCATCGGAAATACTCAACTAGTTTTATGCGACGTGTTATTTACTTAGCAAATTTATTTCATGTGGTTAAAAGTGTTATTTATCCTTCTTCTACTTATATGTGGGGCGAACAATCATAGAGAACCGGTAGCAAACGATCTCTTATATTGGAGAGCTTAAATAAAATATGGATAGTCCGATGACCCGATGCTAAAAACCCGTCTCTTAGATTTGCTAGATGCAAATCTAACTTTTTATAGTTTTCGTTTTATGGATTGTTTTAAATTCTGGAAAGGGGATCTGACAGTTATTTTGTGCTACAAAATATTAAAATAACTTGTGGGTTTAGAAGTTTTCTGCAAAATAGTTTTAAGATATCTTAAATATTTGTACCAACATAATTTTATAATTATTTTAAATGTTAAACAAATAAGAAAAAAGTTCTTAGCGTAAACATCGACCAGATTTCTTACTTCTATATTTTAAATTTTATAATCTTTTTTTACAAAGTTTAAAGTGACATTTCTATTATTCTATGGCCTTTAGACCAATAGTAAACGTAGGACGATGAAGTGTCAAAAACCCGAAAAGTTCTGTTTCTGTGGATTTGATGCTCCCTATTCAAAAGCAAAATTTTTAACAAGAAAACAGACGTCGTGAAAAGTTATATACTAACTACTTTTGCTAACTATAATACGATATTTCTTTTGCGGTAAAAATTAGTTATGACGTTACAAATACAACAAATTTTTTTCAAAATTTACAAAGTCATAGTTTTCAACTTAACCTCCCTCGCTAATGTTTAGAAGCACATAACATCCTGAAATTAGAGTAAAACAATATCTTACTCATATTTACTAACATTTACGTGACCATAAAATCGTACAATACGGTACCATTTTTAAGGCCGAGTTTAATAACTTTACTGTACAATAAAAACCGATTTTATTGCTAATTTTTTGGAATTTTTACTGTTTTATTGCGAAGTCGGGTAATAAAAGTTGTTTGTAATTCAAACATTAAATTCAAAAATTGCTCTCATCACTCAATTTTGCTTCCCGAATTTGAAAAATGAAAAAAAACTAGATTCCCGTTTTCGTATGTCTGTCTGTTTGTTGTCTGGTGGTTATGTTATTAGAAACTATAGGGCAAATTTTTCTCAAATTTCGGATATATCTACTCGTATTTTAAGAAAATCGTATTTCTATTTCCCTTTCAAAAATTCTAGTGTAACTTTTAACACTCCGCATGGAGAGTTTTGGAAAAAAAAATCAAAATAGTACAACAGAATTATATAGGTTGATTCAAAAATGACTTATAAATATGACACGTTGTTAAAGGCTTGTTTATTGAATGAAAAAAAAATTATTTAAAAAATCCTTGGGTCCAAATGTAGAAGACAGAGGACTATAAAGTTTTAACAGACAGACGACAGATAGACGACAGACAAACAGACAGACGGAAACGGGAAACCTATTTTTCGTACTGTAGGGGTTATGGAACTTGAAACATTGAGGAAACATCAAAGTAGTCACTGTTCCGACGGACTCTATTACAACACCTCCTTCGGTTATTCTTGGAAAGTAAAAATAAAATTCACAGAATCAATTTCATTAAGACAGAAAACAATTTTAGACCTTTATCATCTTAGTTTAACGAGCAAGATGTAAGTTTTTTAATATGAAAGCATCTGTTTAAAATATATGAAATTTTGCTACAGAAATTTCAAAAAAACGTTACAGTTCAGAACGCTAGAGGATGTAAACCAAATTTGACATAAGCAAAGTTGTATATCTGACAACAAAAATATTCATGTATTGTTACGAAATAAACCCATACGCCGCCCCGGTACGACGCCTATGGGTTTTCTAGTAGGTGCGGCGATGATGGGTGAGTCATCATCGGTGACGGTGGCCAGGCGACGTTCCATAAAGACGAGTCTGAAGTGGGTTAGCGAAAGTATCGATTGCGGTACTCAGAAAAACCTCGAAGCGGCGTTCTCGATCCATCGAGAGGACCGTATAGATTTAAACAGGGGCCACCATCGGGAACGATTATTATTCAAGTCTTATTACTTTTGGAATGTAAGCTAAAGAAGTACATATTGTAATAGGGTTTATTAAGGGAATGGCTACTTTCATGTTTTCCGCAACATTTCATTACCAATAGAGTACGAAAAAGTAGGAGTGCCTTTTTCGTCTGTGTGATCTGTCGTCTGTCATCTCTCGTCTGCCGTCTGTCGTCTGTCATCTGTGTCAATATTATTAGACACGTAATCTCCAAAACTACTAATTCTTGTCAAGTTTTAATTTTTAACAATGTCGTGTAGACTATAGATGGTAAAACGCTATTCAAAATTTTTCTA